TGCTCGTGAATGCCGAAGACGTAGATGACGTCGCAAAGCTTGTCCTCGATGTACTCGAACGTGCGCCCCAAAGCTGCCGCGCGTTCTGGTCTATCCACCTCCCCACCACCCATGTGGCAAAACATGATGGCCGCGGTCATCTCTTGCTCCATGAACCGCCGCGGCCAGCTCGCGATGGAGAACTCGCAGGACTCGAGCACACTTTTGAAAGCGGTCGCTGGTGGAGCCACCATCCGATTAGGCGGCAGATGGTCGATGGCGTCTCGCAGCATGGCGGCATCCTTCTGGGAACAGATGATGCCCGAAAAGTACTTCGCCACGTCCAAAAGCGAGGAGCGCGAGTTGCACTTATCCTTGATGAGGGCGTTTTGGCCTGTTGTGTGTCCGGCGGACAAACACGCAAGAAGCGACACACAAACCAAACCGTGGCTTAGTGATTGGTGTCATCAGACATCGTCGAAGTCGCAGGACGCCGAACGACTGCAAGAGAAGCCTATGACTTGACGCACCCATCGCCACAGATGAATGTACACGTGAACCGTACGATCGCAGTGCACTGACCAAGTATATCAATCCCGAACAACAGCGGCCGGACAACAGTAGTCACACGGTTCGAAGAGGTCGTAAATATTAGCGGCATGTAGGGAGTTGTTTACTGGTCATTGACTGACGGCGTACGATAAATTCGTCAAGAAGCACTCATCAATGGCATAGTAAATAGGGGGCAAGGAAGATAGCCGCCCCCAACCCCTACAGACGTAGACAAACTCCCAAAAACAACGACAACGCTACATGCGCTGTCGTTCTCCAACAAAACGCTCATGACAGATGATGCATAAACGCACCTTCAACTCTTGATGTCGTCCACGAACCCACGGAGAACACCAGGGGCGACACATATTCCGCCCACCGTGCGCGGTCGTCATATACCACTCGCATGTACCTCTCCCGGGTACTTTTCGAGGATGGCGTTGAACTTCCCTTCAAAACTTCGCCAATGACAGCTGCTGACGCACACACCTGAACTCGTTTATGAAAGGCTGCGGAAAACACAAACGACGTAGGCCGGGTGGGTGTTGCGTGAGTTGGGACCTCGGCGATGAGCTACCGGTCTGTACGATTGACTGCCCCCAACAACCCCCGTACATTTCGTTAGCGCTAAGGCGAGACGAGGAGAGGGTTGAAAAAACTCAGCGACATATCATTGGTGAAAACAACCTGCTGCTGCTGCTGCTGCTGCCGCTGCTGCCGCTTTTCCTGTGTGCACTGGACGTCGTGAGGTATGTTTCCGTCGAAGCCGAGGTCGTCTCCGCATCACGGTCTACGCAGATACGCTGGATATCACCCTTCCGAGTAGACGACAACGCCACT